TGTATGGTCATTACGGCGACCTTTTACAAATTTGATCTCTAAACCAACCTAACATCAAACTGATCATTACGGCGACCTAAGTATGTATGGTCATTACGGCGACCTTTTACAAATTTGATCTCTAAACCAACCTAACATCAAACCGATTATTACGGCGACCTGACATAAGTATGGTCATTACGACAACCTTTTACAAACTTGATCTCTAAACCAACCTAACATCAAACCGATTATTACGGCGACCTGACATAAGTATGGTCATTACGACAACCTTTTACAAACTTGATCTCTAAACCAACCTAACATCAAACCGATCATTACGGCGACCTGACATAAGTATGGTCATTACGACAACCTTTTACAAACTTGATCTCTAAACCAACTTAACATCAAACCGATCATTACGGCGACCTGACATAAGTATGGTCATTACGACAACCTTTATACAAACTTGATCTCTAAACCAACCTAACATCAAACCGGTCATTACGGCGACCTGACATAAGTATGGTCATTACGACAACCTTATACAAACTTGATCTCTAAACCAAACTAACATCAAACCGATCATTACGGCGACCTAAGTATGTATGGTCATTACGACAACCTTATACAAACTTGATCTCTAAACCAACCTAACAACAGCGTTTGTAAAGCTAAAAACAGTTCTTAAGATTTATGTAATGTTTTTGGAGCATGTTTAAGTAAATGCCTTTTTGATCATTTGTTTCGGATGAGATAATCTACACTAGACATCCTTTATTTTGAAATGATAAACTGGAGGAAAACAGCTAGTCAAAGCAGTTAATTTTATAACGCTTTACTTCGAGTTTTCTTGTAAGGTTTTAGGTTTTCTATCTTCGAGTGATTGTTTGAATTTCGCGCAAAGCTACACGAGGGCTATCAGCGCTACCCGTCACTAATTTAGCAGTGTAAGACTAGAGAGAAGGCAGCTAGTCATCACCACCCACCATCAACTCTTGGGTTACTCTTTTACCAACGATCACATTGACCGTCACATTATAACGCCCCCACGGCTGAAAGGGCGAGCATGTTTGTTGTGACGGGGATTCGAACCCGCGACCCTCAGATTGCGAGTAGAGCGACTTAACCATGCCGGGCTCCTCGAATGATCAACTGATGTAAGTTTTCTATTCTCGAATGATCAACTGATGTAAGTTCATAATTCGGAATGAACAAGTACTTCGTCCCACAAATCAGTTTAATTGCCCAAGAAACTCTTTATTTATGATTCTCAAGCTACTGAAGTACTTCATTCGTTAAGCGCATTAAGCATTTTTTGCTCCAAATTAATTAAATAAATTCTAGCTTTGGAATAGACATTAAATCTAGTAGATGATATATCTCTCATACACTGACACATAAAGATGTGCACATGCGCATCATGCCAAGTATTTCGTATTTTTACCATGGAGTGAATAAAGCATCATTACATTTCTGTATTGAATTTATTTCATCACGCAATCAGCAATTTTTGTTACATTCCGTGAAATTATCTATAAATATTGTCCAAGTAGAGTAATAAATATATGGGTTAGCAGTCAAAGCTGAACTTCAGACCTGATGAAAGCGAGTTTACGTGACCTTCTCCTCAACATACGATAGAGTGCGTGAAGTAAACATCGTATTAATGTTTATATGTTGTACAACTAAGTTCGGTTTCAGACCCTGGCAACTAGTTACATCAGACACTTGAGAAATATTGCTTTAAGAAACGCATGCATATTTATTTATTAAGAAAATAGATCACATGAAAGTGATGAAATACACTTCATTCACACGTCTTTCATGAAAAACATTTTAATTTTCATGCTGAAGTATAATATCAAAACTAACCTAGATTCCCTTAAAACTATAATACAAAAAATCATTCAGCAGTTTACAACTCCATGTTTCCTTTGTAATATTTTGGAGTAACTTATATGGTATTATTCTCCAGCTCACAGATCTTCATTGATATGTTTGTTGATCAAATATACTACTTGGTAAAATATCACAAAAACATAAGGTTGTAAAAAAGATCTCTTCACGGCGGCTTCAAAATGCAATTATCATTTTCCGCTTCATCTAAAAATATTGTTATATTCAGTTTTTATAACATGTTGAAATTATTGAGGTCGTGTGATTCCCACTGAAAGTTACTGGTCACACTTGTAGTTCTAGTATTTGTCATACTAAGTGACGTTTATCTTCCATACATATGGTTGTAATATTTACTGAATATATTCGTAAATAGATCTATTGTTACTATTCTGTTTATAAAATATAACCTATGCAGAATTATTGTGATAAAATATAAATCATTTTATACACTGAGAAAATATGAGGGCCTGTTTTCATTCGAGTGGAAATTAAATGGGATACCGATGATTTTCGAATGGTAACCAAGATGGCGGTGTTTGGTAGGCGGAGCTCTTTCTCAACAAAGATTCTTGAATTATTTGGAAAATGTTTTGAACAATGTTTCTAGTACGTTGTTTAGTTGTTCTTTGTTTCTCAAATGAACACGTTTTCTTGGTACAGTTTTATGAAACCAGAATTTATTTATTTTCATGTTGAAGAACAATCAAGTGAAACAAAAGAGTATGATAAGCATGCCATGGTTTATAGAATACAATAAGTAGGAGTTATTGAAAAAGATTTTCAATTCAGCCGTAGATCAATATAAAGCATGTGGAAGACAACGTAGTAACGTGTTTAAAACTATTTGAATATGTTTCTTTCTTTTTTGTTAAGCAAAAAGCTACACAATAGGTTTTCTGGGTTATGTCCATTACGGGTATCGAAACCCGGTTTTTAGCGTTAGCTTGAACGTAATTTTGGACGACGATTTTTTACATCCATAAGTACTATTTGGTGTGACCATGTTGTCGTCATAACACTCCAATGGTCAACCTAGTCTACACGTCAAGTTTCACTACATTGTGTCCATCAGCTTCCTGAATTAGATCGTCTGAAGAGTGGAAGTGCTTTTTGAAACTTTCAAGTTAACGAAACGGAATATCTGAAAAATGTATATAAATAGGTATATAATATCAATAATGCAATATAATTGGTATGCCATTCTGGAATAATAATAAACGTGTATTAACCTTTTGTTAAATTCCACAAACTTCTTCTCTCTCTCTTTCTTTTCTAATTCGCCCAGTAACACTTTCCCTAACTTAATTTATAAACTAGACATTTAAACCAACGATTTCAAAGTTTCTTTTACATTTAACATTTCAAAACCCATTTACGAAAAAAGCATGGAAAATTAATAATATTCTAATGTAAATCATTTTATCTGCAAATTAGGGTTAATAGCCCAATGGAACATAATATCTGCTACATTGGAAATCAGAGGAAAAAACAAAAACAAAAAACAGACGTATAAGATCACGTGCGTTTAAAATCATTTATTTCTGATCAATTAATTACACCAGAAGCAGAAGAAAAATACGCATGCGCTGAAGATGATTTGTTTGTGTATGTGTGGTTTAAGGTGTGAAACAGTATTGGCAGCTTCACTACAAGTTTCATATGGTAACAGTGGTTGAATAAATGTGGTATTTTTGTCGAAGAGTTTTTCTAAGAGTTTGAGCTCGACAACGAGGTAAGTTTCGAAATATTTCAAAGTATTGAATATTGTTTATCGCTCGGAGTTTTCTGACTCTTAGACTTGTGGCATTACATAATCGTATCTAAAAACTATTAGCTTCGTCTAAACAGTGGCAAAACATATAATTTTAAAATGTCAATTTTCTAAAACATTTGAACATTTCGAGAAGTTTTTCAAGTGAAATTGAGAAATATAAAATACAATTTAACTTACATCAGAGTGAAATTTACACCACATAAAATAAGCAAACGTAAAAAAATATAGATGCTAAAGATATAAAACTATAAAATAAATAAATCTAGTATAAAATAACTGAAACTACAAGACATGCAAACAGGATTATTATGGAACTGAATCTGACAGATTGATAAATGTACACTAATATCGAACTGAATCTGATAAACATACAGCTTAATATTTAGGTGAAAGTAAATCTGATAAACCGAATATAGTTGTGTGCATCTGAAAATCATAGAAGTAAATTAATGTGGAACTGAATTTTGTAGACAGTTAAGTAGACTAATATTTAACTGCTAAACAGATGGTGTTACAGTTATTGAAGTTAAAAGTAAAATAATAATGTAGGATTTAAGTTAGTGAATGGATAGCTTGTGTTCTTTAAATTAATCTGGGAAGACAGCATTGTTTTAAAACACGTAGCAAGTCTGTAACATTATCGAATCATTTAACCTTTCATACGAAAACATTAAATGCCATTTTTTTACGTTTGTATACTTATGTGAAGATTGTTTGTATCACATAGTGCTATTATATCTCCATCTCTGAAGAGAGTAAACCTGGGAGGATTTCAGTTCAATACTACTTTAACACGTTCTAATTTAAGATATACCTTTCCAGAACTGACTCTATATATATATTAGAAATTAAAGACAACAACCCGTAATATCCCTATCAAAAGCCAAATCCTAGCACAGGGAGTTGTTTAAGTAATGAGTTCACGTGACATTTTACACATTTTTCTCGTTATATTTCCGTTAATATGTTCAAAATATTAGATCCAAAGTAAAATTAAACATTCAAAATAGGGCGAGTTAAAACGTTGGAACTATAAAGAAAGAAGGTGAAGGTGGAATGAATTTTGTCGTTAATTTATAGATTTACGTAAAACAAATTATAACTTTGCAATACACTTTCAAGTATATTTTATATCTGTCAGTCCTTCTCAAGGCTAATAATAAGTACACTATTACACTGTATTGAGGCAGATAACGTCACCACATATCTTGCACCATCTTAGTTAATATATGATTTTCAAACTTTCTGCACATACTGAATACGTGTTCTTTACTTAGAACTTCCATCAAGGGAGCCACTAAGTTCCTCTAACCATAGTTACTAACAGGACTGGACTAGTAAACTAGGGCATCGCTTGTGCTGTCTGTAACATAGCACATACTATATAGAAAGTGACGGTGGTCTTTTCTACTGGAAAGTCAGGTGACGCCTCATGGATATAATATCTCTTTATTTTGAAGTAAGAGTAATCTTCAATCACGTGGTTAGCACCTGTGCAGACTCCAGTAAAGGTGTCACAATAAAAAATTTCTTCCAAACTATGATTGTGTTTGTGAAATGTTTGAGAATGGAGATTGTTTCACTGTATGATACATTATGTTCAGTCTCTTTTTATGCTTCAAACTCAATTGAGGTTAAGATAATTCATATTTTGCTCCATAAAATATTTGCCGGCGAACTTCCAGTTATTCTGTGGCTCCTACCAGATTACTCAAAGGTAATCAGTAAATCTGAAAATACCACATTCTGAGATCTTCTTTAGTCTGATAATAAGCACATTTTCTTCCTGTAGAACGTCCATCAGGGGAGTTACTTAGTTTCTCTGACAACAGTTACTCACAGAACTGGTTCAATAAACTAGAGCATCGTTACTTTCTTAAGGCTATTATCGAGTATTAATCTAGAGATCTTTTAGAGTAATCTTTCTAGACGTTGTTATGGCTGATAAGTAGAACTTTATTGGACTTTATTAAGGCTGATAACGAGTACTATTTGATACATTGTTAAATATGATAATAAATGCTATTTTACACCTTCTTAAGCTAAAAACGATTATTTATTTTAGACCTTTTAACACAATAACAAGTGTCTTAAAAACAGATGGTTTTAGTTCACAGTACATTTATTTACTAGGCCACCTTTTCGTTGTAATATCTTCTACAGATTGTGTTTATTGTGGTATTTTATGAAAGTGAGTTAGGGAAAAAAAGTCCAATCAAACTGCGAAGAAATGTATTAAGATTTCCCTAATATAAATGATATAAAGAAGTTGTAGCTTCGGAATGATATTCTTTCAAGAAATAACTGTATGTTCTTGTCTTCTATAACATTGTTCCTAATATAATGTCTTTTTTTTGCAATGTATTACAAAGCTTTCCAATTTGATATTCTTGTTTTGGAAAAATGCATTAGGGAAAGTCTTAATAATAAAGTAGCGTAGCTATGAAGAGGTAAAAACATAACTTAAGATAATTATTCATGACGATTGAATTTCTTTGTAAGAAATTACATAATGTGTCTTTCAGATGATTAGCCTTAATAGCGTAATTACATAAAATATATAGTTATAATATTTACCATCATCACACAGTGCGACTATCTAAATATAACAGGACGATAAGTTTTATTCAAAACTTGAATATGTGTCTCATAAATTGATGTATGTTTACCTCACCGGCTTATCAAATAGTAATACTTTTTTTCAAATAGCAGAATGGCACCAACACCATCAACTGAAGACAAAGTAACAGATATTAGTGAAATAATTGGTATCTACGGAACGTGGCAACGAAGATTCTTTATCTGGGTGTTACTTGGAGGAATATTATCATGTTGGCTCAGTCTAGTAACACCATTCTTAGCTCCAGAGATAGACTTCTGGTGCCAGAGACCCCAAACAGTACTTGACAACATGTCTGTTGAAGAGTGGAAAGTTTTAGCAATACCTACACAAATCAATCTCTTAACTGAAGAGAAGGAATACAGTAAGTGTACAATGTATGAGACGAAGATAAATGGAACGAATGAGAAGGACGTCTTTATCAACGTAAATAAGACCGTAGCATGTGAGAAGTTTGAGTTTGACCATTCTATTTATAGCTCTACATTGCTAGAAGAGGTAGGAGGTTTTGGTAAAATTATAATATAATAAATATAAAGCCAGTTCGCGACTTTCATTCGATTTCAATGCTGACTGTTCAGAGTAATTCAATTTCATTTCTCCAAATTTTATGAAATAACTGGTAAATATATACATTAGAAAATGAAATGGAAAACCATGACAATGTCCAGTAATGAATCAACCTCAATTGGTGCTGTAATTAAGTAATATATTGTTGAAAGAGTTACAGCTTATCTCTGATAAATCTTGTGAAAAAAAAAGTATTTTGGGGGAAACTAAAATGTTATGTAGTTATCGATTAACACCTACCGCTATAAATTAGTTTTGGTTTTGTGTTAATATAAATACGTAACAACTTGACTTCAGATCTTAATATTTTGGTAACTGTTTATTGACTTTGCCAGTACATTAATAACTGATTTTATGACGGCAGTGGAATTTGGTTTGTGAGGACAACTGGCTAATCTCTCTCAGTCAGTCGGCATACATGGCGGGATTTTTGGTGGCTGTATTAGTATTGGGACAAGCATCGGACAGGTAAGTTGCTTCTGATAGTTTGTCATGAAACTATTAATTATTGCAGGCGTGTATAACACCAAATTGATCAAGAACAAGATACATAAAATAGGTCAAAACTGCTTAAAATTATTTCATTACCAAGATTTCAGTTTTGTTTTCATAATCGTCTTCAAGTTATCTATTTCTGTGCGAATTTTAACATTAATTTCAGTTAACTTTCAACTATACAGTATAACGTTTTTAAAGTATATACTGTATACGAGAGAAGAAGACAAGTTTAAAGGTTCGCTACATCCAGTACTTCCAGATCAACCTAATTGTTGACAGTTTGTGTCACAATTCTAGTCTTGCCCGATAAGAACTTTTTTTGCGTATAATCGCGTGCTTTTCGTTGTAATTTCTTCACAAACTTTCAACAATCCTATGATATTGTTTCAACTCCCCTTGGCTCCTTGTTCCATATTCTTCAGATAAAAACAAAACCAAATTATTTACTATAAAATAACACTACAAGTTTTTAAAGACATTCCTATAAACAAATTTTATAAATGGTTATTTAGTATTGTATAAAAAATGACATTTGTTTCACAAAATAACAAAATTTGCCATAAAAAATATAATTTTTATATCACTGGTACCTTCAAATGAATTCATATTTATTAACTATAATTATCTATAAATCATTGAGATATTTTTTTACTTTTTGCAGTAAGTATCCCAATAGCCTTTGCAAATGAAAGATACGATACATTTATATGTTATAGATTTATTTTATTTTCTTTTTTCTACCCCGGCATGGCCAGGAGGGCGCTCGACTCACAATCTGAGGGGCACGAGTTCGAATCCCCCATCCTACCAAACATGCTCGCCATTTCAGGCGTGGAGAAGTTATAATGTGACGGTCAATCCCACTATTTGTTGGTAAAAGAATATCTCAAAAGTTAGCAGTGGGTGCCTTCTCTCTAGTCTTGCACTGCAAAATTAAGGACGGCCAGTACAGATATCCATCGTGTAGCTTTGCGCGAAAAATAAACATTTTCTTTTTCACCAATGATAAAACTGAAAATATTATCTCTGACCTAGAGGTCTAACACATTCTTTGATTGGTCGTACCTTCTACATTGAGCTGTAGTTTTGGATGTGCTGGGTCAGCAAACCGAAGAAATACAGTTAGGCCTCATATAACGATGATGCTTATATAAGATTTATACACACCTAAACTATATGGTGAATTAAAAAGGAACCAAAACCCCCAAAATGATATGATACACTAGTTTTTTTAAAGCTTTGGTTTTAGGACGGAAAATGCCGTTTAAAGTGAGGATATTCAAATGATGATCCAGTGTGTTACAATGATTATGGATTTAATATTCTTGTGTATTGAATTATCACTTTATGTTCTTTTACTTATCAAGTTATATGAAATGGGTTTCGTTAGCTGTAAGTTAACTTTTGATTCTGACTCTTATAAATAGCTTACTTTTGATTAGGACTAATAAGAAATGTTGTTATATTATTATTTTTAGGGATGTAACGTCATCTGTGGTTTATTTGCACTGAATGTTTCACATACTTTTCATTTCAGGTTAGGCCGTCTACCAGTGATGTTGCTGTGTTTCGCCTTTATGATTATAGCAGGACTTTTAGGAGTTTTCGCCCCAACATTCACAGTGTTTATCATTGCTCGGTTTTTTATAGGACTTGGGAATTCTGGACTTTTTACGACAGCGTTTATCTATGGTTAGCATATCATTTGGTAATATTTCGAAATTATGAATTCTAACTGAAGAAACGTACGAGTTAGCACAATATGAGTGTGCAATTTGTAATGTGATGTTTGAATTTATTGTATTTTTGTTGTTTGTTTGTTTTAGAGCAAAGCTACAATGAGCTAGCTGCTGTGTCCAACGCGGGAAATCGAACCCCGAATTTAGCGTTGTAAGTCCTTAAACTTACTACTCTCTCCCTGGAGGGACATTGCTGTATGTATAGCAGCTTACAATTGTCGAAAGCGATAATTCTAGTTTTCACTGCATATATATTGGAATACCTAGTTTAACAAATAAAATTGAACATTTCTCGTTTTTAACTCTTCATAAAAAAATACACGATTCTCGTGCTATTCTTTGTATATTTTTTGCTGTTGAATTCCGGCTAAGCTACTCCAGGGCTACCTACGCTTGCCATCCATAACTGATCATCAGCGATGGATTAGATGATAGGAAGCTAGTTAACAATAACACTCGCCGCTAACTCTTGGGCTACTCTTTACAAACGAAAAGTGAGATTGACCATCACTCTCCCAAAACTGAAAGGCTCTTTGTAAACAATTTACTTACATGACGATAGACGTTGTTATCGAATGCAACATTTCAACATCAATTAAGCCCTTTAAGTAAGATGGTATAATGAATGGCGAAGTATTTATGAAGCTGACAGGCTGTTTAAAATAATGTCTTTCATCTATAAACTACACTGTGTTATTACTTTACATATAGCAAGCCTGCACCATCACGCTAAAGCTCAAACCTTCGCTTAAATTATATGTACGTTTATATCTAAATGTTTCTAAGCTCAGAAAGCTGAAGAGCCTATGCCAAAAAGAAGTGAGAATATTGTTGAATTATATTACTAATATTAAATGTATTTCTGCAATAAATCGCAATTTCTGTTGTTATGGAAGAAACGTATTTGAAAATTTATTAACAATAAAGTTAAAAGGTTTAAAGTATTGAAATATTTATGTAGCTAAAAGGAAAACCGATCCTGAAAATCTGCCAAATAATTTAAAGGGTTATTGGATAAAACACCGAAATTTCAATGTTTGTTATATTCCAGAATAATTATTTATAATAATGTTTTTGACACACCATCTTAATCTTTTTACTCTTTTATAGTCCAGTAATTCATCATTAAATGAACTGTAACACCACCAGTTGTAAAGTAGTGACCTTATGTACTTCCCAGAAAGTTACGAATTTATAAGCAGTATTTCAGTTCTTTAGTTCAATATTATGGAATGTGAGTTTTCTAAGCTGTGATTAATGAAGCAAGGATATAGAGCGCATAGCTAAACGTACTCAGTAAAAAACTTTGTGCAATACAAGAGAAACTGCTAAAACTACGGTACATGTGATACAGTGTAATTTTTGCAGTTTAATTAAGCAGGAAAGAAAATGAGCGTTGTGAAAAACAATAACTGGCAGTCCTAACTGTAAACTGTTGCTTGCTGAATAAACAGTTCTTTCTATTGTCGCTTGATTAGAATTCTGAAATAAGAGCTCCCGAAAATGTTTTTGACATCGTTCAACAGTTATTTCAATAATTTTATATAAACTTAATCAAACGAGACATCAACGTGTTTTACTTGCACAGTAATTTATTTGTAAAGTTTATAATTAGCATGTTTTTACAGTGTCGCCAAGTCTTCTACGTGTATAATTAGCATGTTTTTACAGTGTCGCCAAGTCTTCTACGTGTATAATTAGCATGTTTTTACAGTGTCGCCAAGTCTTCTACGTGTATAATTAGCATGTTTTTACAGTGTCGCCAAGTCCTCTACGTGTATAATCAGCATGTTTTTATAGTGTCGCCAAGTCTTCTGCGTGTATAATTAGCATGTTTTTACAGTGTCGCCAAGTCCTCTACGTGTATAATTAGCATGTTTTTACAGTGTCGCCAAGTCTTCTTTTTTTTTCTGGCCGATGAATTAACTAGGGAAGCCACATAACATACTGTTTGGGAGAAATAGCACAAAGTTTCATTTGGATAGAGATTCTCAAGGGACAATTGTTCTTTTCCAGTCAATATGGTGTTCAATCTACTTCGTATTTTTGTCCCCCGGTGGGACAGCGAAGTTATAACGCTCGATTCACCGAGGTTGACATAGCAGATAGCCCCACGTGGTTTTGCTCTAAAAATCAAATAAGCTTGGTTTTGATTTATTTTTTCATTTGTTTGTGAAGTGCAAATAATGCACATTGATCACGACCAAGTGAAACAGAATTTCTGTTTCTTCTACGTTTCATGTTACATAGGTCACTCTAAAACCCCGAAACCTGACTTATGTTGTTCCAGGATTTCTAGTAGTAATTCGATAGTAATTTAAGCTCTTACAATAAGTTAAGAAGACAGTGTCAAAAACATGACGATTAAAGAACGCTTGAAGTAGGCAGAGGGTTAATAAAAACTGAAACCAGGCTGGACAGATGATTTAGAAACTAGTACAATTAAATTAATCAATTTATACGTGCTATAATAGTGGTGATTTTGATTAGAGTGTTGTTAATAAATATTGTAAAACAATAAAAAAACTCTGTCAACTATTGTTTTTATTCTTGATTTTATTTATCACCATATTTTTGTTCTTTAATTTACTCTTATACCAGTAATGGAATCTGTTGGGCCTAATCATCGGATCTGGTTAGGAGTTGGTGGTTCGTTTGGATTCTCCTTTGGCTGTATAATTCTACCTTGGATAGCATGGCTGATTCGAGATTGGTTTCTAATTCAACTGGCGATCACTCTGCCTACAATAGCTCTAGGATACATTTGGTGGTAAGAAAATAATTTAAATAAAAGCTTAGTGATGATTAATTACCATATTATTTGCCTACAAATATTAACATCAGTAAAGAAAATACTGATAACGCTTCTTATCAATGAAGATATATATATATATTCATATTATAGCTAGAACCTACAGTTCTATTTATTTATTGGCCAAGAGATACCGGGCTTACAAAATACAAAATCTTTTTCTAACCATTTGTACTATGATACAACGTCTGGTTCCAATTGTGAACATCTTAGTTATTCTTAGAGCAGGCATTTTGCTGGTGTGACGAGGCACAACTGGCGAGCTGTTGTGGGTGATGACTTCTTTCTCCAAATATCTGAGGAACCAATGGCTTTGAAGCAGTTTCACATTCTGAAATGTTGTATTTTGAGATACCTTTAGAGAATTTGTAATAGCATACTGTGATTGGCTGGTTTTCACTCATATGATGGTTCTCCACACGAGTCAAAGACTCAGATGTTTGATTTAAGGTCTAGCTGCGAACAATTTGGAGCATTGTGTACTCTATTATTCACTTCAAAGTGACAACTATATATATAATGTTGGCTTACTGACCAATCATTTGCATTTCAGATCACACGACTGATTCTCAGGTGCTTGATTTGCATAAAAATGAAGTAAGAGAAGCTGGGTGATTGTCATTGTTTTATGAAAGTGGTTTGTCTTGCCATAAATGAAATATTAAAATAGGTAGCAAAAGGGTTTCATAAAATCTATATAAATATGATACTACTGTCTGTTGTATGTCCATGTAAATACTTCACAGAACGTGGATGTATCTTCACCAAAATTGGTATGGAGGTTCGTTTGGTCCATGTGAGGGTGCATACAAATTGTCAATTTTGAATTTTGTGTTTTGCTGTTTTTTGTTGGTATTTTTACGTTTTTTACACCACCTCTCTCCCTGTTGATGAACCTTCACTAAATTTGGCATGAAGGTTTGTTGGTTGCATGGGGAAATACATGCAAAGTTGCGGTTTCACATTTTGTGTTTTGCAGGATTTTGGGGGCGTTTTTGCATTTTTTTACAATTACATAAGGGAAGCAACTTTTGATGTCCTAAGATAAACTTTCATTAATCATGAAGTTACTTAACGTCCATGGAACGGGTTCTCCAACCAATATCATAATATATTAAAATAATATTTCCTCGTAAATTACCCATTAGACCATTATCTCACCTGTACATCGCATGTAGAATCGAACTAAAAAAAATAAACCTCTTTTAATCAAGCTGTTCTGACAAACAATAAAAAAAGGGATTTTAGCTCACTTTACACCTCATGTGGGGCTAAAAAAACACGTTTCGTAGAGACTGCCAAAATAGGAGGTTCGTTGTTAGATAAACACATTTTTATATCCAATTTATCATTCGAAATGTAATATTTATTAAAGAAATAATTAAATGTGCTGAACTTGATATCTAACGAAATACATAGATATGCCTAAAAAACAAGTCAAACATGTTGTAGAAAAATTCTCAATTCATTAGAGTGAAACGTAACAAGGTGTGAAGTACATGACACCCCAGAACAATGTTGGATGTTTTTTTGTTCTGTTTTGTGTCTTCTTGTCATTTACTTTGTGCACATTTCTTCCTGAATTACTATGGGAACTAGTATCTGGGGGGGAGGAGGAACGAATGGTACAGAAAATTACTTGTTTGTTTTATAGGTGGATTCCCGAATCACCACGATGGCTTATTTCTCAGGGAAAAATGGAGAAAGCCGAAGAAGTCACTCGGAAAATCATGAAGATTAATCGGAAAGAATGCGCAGACGTTCAAGCAGCCTTGCAAAACATTAGGAAAATCTCACAAATGGTAACTAGAGTTGATAAAGAGTAAAATAAGTTGGCATCACTTTGAAAACAAAACCAAATAAGTTACGATTAAAAACTGGTCACGACGAGTTTCATAAAGCATTATTTCGAATATATCAGAACATAGAACATGAGATAAGAATTCAGACCAAAAGCAAGATCGATCTGACGGTAGAGTTGTGTTCAGATCACTTAAAATTAAGGTGTGTTGTTTATTATTAAGCACAAATTATTATCTGTGCTCTGCCCACCACGGGTATCGAAACCCGGTTGCTTGCACTATAATCCGCAAACATACCGCTGTGCCACTGGGGGAGCATGCATTTTAGCACTAAAGAATTAATTGTCCTGATTATTTCAATAAATCGAATATTGTTCTAATTCGAGAATTAGAGTCAATAATTTATTTAAATTCAATGATGGCCACCAACTACTTAGTTCTTCGGTTGTTTTTTTTTTAATTCGCTCTGCGGGAAGTAGGTTTCTGATGTTTGATACCAATATTTCTACATAATAGACACTTTCTACCATACTATGACATGCCAGTTAGCGTTAGAACTATAAAACATTTCTATAAACTAGAAACCATTAATGTTGATTAGGCTGAGGAGAGACAAACTACTGAATGTCAATACACCTTCAGGAATCTGGTGAACATTCAACAAGCAAAGGTTCCATTTGCATTCTAGTCTTACTTGTAGTGATAATATTTCATCTGGAACGGGTGTTTAATCGGTAAGACAATGGATTTCTTCTCAAGCTATTTAACATTGTGTGTAATATTTCATAAAAATATACCCCCGATTAATCAATAATGCTGCGCCTGCCCTCTGTTGTTAAAATTGACCATTATTTAAATTAAAATGTAAGAATACTTAAAAAAGTACCTGATCATTTTGTGTTTAAAATGTTTGATATATATATATTACAGAACAAAAAGGATTAAATATATATTTTTTAGAACACAAAGGAATATTTAAAGGTATATTAAAGCTGTATCTGTTCCCAGAGTTTTTCATTTTCCCAGTGAAGATCTGATTGAATGATTTTCAAGTAGTGTTCAATGAAAATTATAATAAAAAGATTTAGAAGTTTTCTGTTTCGAAAATGCGATAAAGTAGATTATATAATACGCACAAAGATCAAAGCAAAACAAAAATAATTTTAGTTAACTTTACCACAAAAATATTTTGCAAGAAACTAACTTTGAAACTGTTCTTTCTTGAAGGAAGACAAAGGCGATGAAAAACTACATGTAAATGTGTTTGATCTTCTAAGAAAACCTAGTTTGAGAAAAATCACCCTGTACCTTTTCTTCATATGGTAAATATAGAGTATAGATTTTTAAAAAATCGTCTTCTAATTCTTCTTTACTGTTTATAATGTTTTGTGTTAAAGCATTGAGAAAATTGAGTTGAACACCATATCATTTTTTAATGTGTGTGTGTATTAGTTTATTTTAAATATAATTTGTTTTATTCCCAAGAGTTTTGGAAATTATATATTTGCACACTAGATGTCACTTAATAGAATTATTTTGTTGCGTAATATACCGGAAAGTTTTAAGGTTTACATTAAGTCCCAAGAAAAACATGCAGTTACGAAATTTTTTATAGAAAAAGTTTATCAGGAGAACCAAAGTAGCTAATATTTCACTGTTTGACTTGTTAGTCTCATAATAGTTTAACGTTGTTTAAAACTAAGCTTTATTTGAAACTAACTGTCTCCTACTTTGAGTTATGTAAATGTGTATTATTGGTGGTTATTTCATTTTAATGCAAAATATTTTTCATAACTTTATTTTCTAAGATTATTTAACCACAGTTCAAAAGTTTCTACGACTTATGCTAAATTTTATTAGCGTTAATTACTATTGGATTTTTTTTTTGGGGGGGGGGTTAAAACTGAAATATTTTATTGGATAAACTATTGTTTATTAGAGGGATTTATCACAGGAAGCGGGTATAACTGCATATTTCTCCACTTTCTGATCTTTTTGAAAATGCAAAATAAACAAACAAGTCAATATTTTCGTTTGGTTACATACGAATGCATGAAGTCATTTTTCGGTGCGTGCTACAAATGTTAATAACAATTATCAGTGGGATTTTGAATTTGCAGGATCGTGACAGCGTTTGTGTTTTATGGAATTACTCTGAATACTAATGAACTCAGTGGAGACCCATTTATAAACTTCTTTATCTCTGGTGTAGTTGAGATTCCGGCCTGTATAATGGCTATGTTTTCTCTCAGATATTACGGCCGTAAAACACCACTTTTGAGTTCTTTAGTGAGTGGAGGTGTGGTCTGCTTTTTAGCCATCATTGTCCCAGCTGGTAAGTGATGTGTTTTGATTTAATTCCTTTTTTAGTGTAAACACTATATTTACATAATCCATTATGTATATTATTTATAAGCATGAATAACGAACGAAATGTCTAAAATCATACTGAAAGCACAGAAATAGTTTTTCTAAACCTGTTAAAGAGAAAATTATATATTTTTGCTTAAATATTAGTTTATTGAGCAAATATTCTCTCTTTCTTAACAGGGTGAAGAGTGGGGAGGGAGAGGGACATAGCCTAATGGTTAGGGGATCAAACGGCCTAATGTTTGTGAAGTGGTGCCGTCGAACACGCTCCTCTCACTTTCAGCTGTGGACGCGTTATAAAAGGGATAGTCAATACCGTGATTCGGTTCAAAGAACCAGGCAAAGTCATTGTGGTGGCGGGTGCTTCTGGCTTGATGTATTCTATATGGTCAGTAGTTTAATATTAGGGACAGCTGTACATGAACCTTGGAGGTCTTTGACCTGGCCGTTGTGCCCACACATGCATATGGAATCGTCCAGTTTAGAAATTCCGGTTTTTCTCGTATAGCTCATTTAAATAATATTTGAGTATCTCAAGTTTTTACCAAGCTACGTGCTATTTATTTGAAGATGTATATAAAAGTAATGCTTCCTAGAAATAGCACTCAATATGTATAAGAAACCTGTTTCTTGTAAAAATATGACTAAATTGGTTTATTAGTCTCCTTATGTGAGTATGAATTAGTATCAACATGCATAAAATGTTAACACAGTTTTTGAATGATGTCAAAAAAGGAAGCTTTTTCTATTTCTAGATGCACTTTTTAATTAACATAGTAAATTCTCAATCTGATAGTCTGAACGACTCAAGCTGGGAGTTTATTTGGGTAACCATAAAACTGCACAATGGAATACCTCTGTTATATCCTTCGCAAAGATTAAACCCTGAATCTCTAAGCTCCATAGCTTACCATTGAGGTACGAGGGAGCCCAAGCTGTGGTAACAACGTTTTACTCGTTCACGTGCACAAAACACAAGCAGTAGCGGCATCAACGTACATAACTATTATAAAAACACCTAATCAAAAACACATTATTTCACATTATATATCGGACCAAGTATTTAATGATTACATACATATGTCACAGATTTGTTTTCTATTTCGCATTAGGCCTCTACGTCATAGATTATTCTTTCAATTTTACCTTTGGTGCTTAAATATATAATATGAAATAATGATTTAGGCACGAGCTATAACATTATTTCAATTCTTAAATTATTTTAGGTTACTTTATTGGTAAGGACTTGAAAACCCCATTAAAAAGTCATGATATATAATCAAAAGCATCTTAGGTGTGAAAAAGAAAGGTGCGGCGAAAAAAGGATTGAGTGTGCGACTTAGAGGAATTAATTAAAAATTGGCGGTCTGGCTAACTAATGAATGAATATTTGCTGTAAAATTCTTATCAATGCTATAAGTGTAGCTACCAATTTGGCCGCCAATTTTGATTTCATTCCTTTAAGTCGCACACTTAATACTTTTTGGCCGCACCTTTGTTTCACCCCTAAGGTGTTTTTTTTATTAAATATCATGACTTTTTGTCAATACACACCAAAAAATCAGAGCAAGTAAGAAAGTGACACTCGATAGTAACAACATTATGTTTAGGATCGCAATCCTATTATTCAGAACGGATCTTTATTTTACAGAACCAAACAGATTCTTTAAAATATATGGAGGTAGTTTCTATTCTCGAAGACAGTGTTAATAGCTTCCTCTATAGTAACGTCATGGAATTTAGATTAACAGTTTCTTGTCATCACCCCCATGCAATCGGTACAGCCTTATCAAGCATCATTATTTATGCTAATTGCTTAAGGTAATATCAAGTGACGCTAAATGCTGTTTAATTAGGATAATTTTATAAAATTTAGCAAATTTGTGCTTAAAAGTTGGCAAAGAATAATGAATAATATCTGTCCATCCGTATGATTCTTTTGAAAACATGAGCTAGAACATGCTAATCTAGTTTGCTTGGCCTAACCAATACTTACGTATCTGCACATCCTTTCCCCTTATTCGTTTTGCTGTTCTAAATCAGCCGTCTTTAATGCGAATGACAAAAAACTAAAAACGGTCCATTTTTACTCTTAAGTGAAGCTGTGGTAAAAGTGTTAGACCGATATCTTACATGGCTCTTTGCGTAGGCGTGTACAGAGTTTTCGTGAAAATTTATTGTTTTTTTTGTTGAATAACTTTGACCATGTGGCTTATATTTACACCAAATGAGACTCCTAATGGTAGATTGAAAAGATCTATCAGTGTACCAAATTTGAAAAAAATCAATGAAAGTTAAGTACGTTTTTTCTATCAAATAAAGTTTCAGTACTTTTGGTGCGAATAAAAAAATTGGAAGAAACTCAATCAAAATTGGATATGTTATATCTCATTTATTTCATAATGTATTGCCTTAAAATTTGTTATGTGAAGTAAGAGTTCAGTAGAGCACATCCACTGTAAATTTGTATTAGTTTGCATTACCACAGCTTAAGATACAGAAAGTGGAATATTGCTAAACTATCACTCCTGTTAATATCACACAGTGTCCTGCAGCAGGTTGTTTGGGCCGCACGACACACTACTCTGTATCTTGATATAAGCTGTGATTTATTTACAAAAAAAAAGTACAGAATTAACTAAAGTATTTTAGACAGACGTGGAAGATTAATACATTTTTTTTTACAAATTCATAGACATCCAATGGTTGAAAACCACGTTTCTAATGCTTGGAAAGCTGTCCATCACGGGAACCTTCGCCATCATCTACGTATATACGGCTGAAATCTTCCCTACGGTAGTGAGGAATGTTGGATTAGGTTGTTGTTCTACAGTGGCCAGAATAGGCTCCATTACCTCTCCTTTTGTTAAGGAACTGGTATCTTTCATTTATCCATATCAGCATGCATTTATTTATTCTTGAGGTTTTTCAAGGAACTGTTATGTTTTATTTACCCATATTGACATGTATTTATTTATTCTTTTAGTTTTTCAAGGAACTGTTATGTTTTATTTACCCATATTGACATGTATTTATTTATTCTTTTAGTTTTTCTAAGGAACTGTTATGTTTTATTTACTCATATTGACATGTATTTATTTATTCTTTTAGTTTTTCAAGGAACTGTTATGTTTTATTTACTCATATTGACATGTATTTATTTATTCTTTTAGTTTTTCAAGGAACTGTTATGTTTTATTTACTCATATTGACATGTATTTATTTATTCTTTTAGTTTTTCAAGGAACTGTTATGTTTTATTTACCCATATTGACATGTTTTTATTTATTCTTTTAGTTTTACTCATTTGTTCATCATTTCTTTCGAAATGTATTAGAAATATTCAACATTAATGTAAGTGCAAAATCACGCCGCTAGGTGCATCCAGTATGATATTTAATGATACAGTATTAAAATATCAACTAAAATCAGTTCACTTTTATGAAATCTTTAAAATTTTACCCAAAAGATTTACCCAACACTTGTAAAGATCGAATATCTCAGGTTATATAGTTATAAAAACAGATATGAATATATCTATACATAAATACGTAGTTGTCATTAACATCTTTTTTTTTTTTTGTATTAGAGTAGAGCGACTCATCCTAATGTTCCGTTTGGATTATACGGAACCGTCTTAGTAATAAGTGGTCTTCTGGTCTTGCTGCTTCCAGAAACCCACAAGCGCACTCTGATGGACACTCTAGAACAAGGAGAACATTTCCACCGGTAATTCCACTGAAGTGTGCCTTACGTATACCTTTTACTCTAGGTTTTTCACTGAACACAACAACGGATAACTTACACTTCTAGTTTTAACAAAATGTATATAATAATGTGTTCGAAAGACGCATCAACCATGCGTTCGATTGTCCATACTTTTAAAACGGCTTCATTGTGTTTTATACAGATTTAGTTTAAGATGATTATAAACATTTTTGGAAATCATAGATTTTTTTTTTAGTCAGACGTGTGACGTAATTCGGGAAGTAACGGGTTTTTATAGGCACTCGATTAATGAAATTCGGGTAACAAACATACTGTTGGTGTGAACGTACTTTATTGTCACTATGAGAAAACCTATACACCGGATAGGTGAAGTGAAGAAAAAAGTCTCATTGGCCACTCTTCAGTTCTTCACATTATATAGCCGCACAATAGCAGATATAATATATAAACTTGTATTAAGTAAACTCGAAGTTTAAGTTCAAGGGAGGTCCAGTTCAAACTACACTTTGATCAACGTGTAGTATTGGGTTATACTAGTTTCGTGTTTTTGTGAACAACACGATTCCTATCTAAAATTTTCCTACTTTTAACCTTAACTCATCAACTTCCTGCAGACGTTTTTTCTAAGCCGTTTAGATTCTGTGGATGTACCAATACTTTGTTACCCTCCAGTACCTTGTGCTGTGATAACTAATACAAATTAATAACTTGTATTACTATCTAATGCATAGGCCAATGACAATATATTGTTAGCTTTAAATACTAACTTAACTTTCGATACACGACAACTCTCGATTTAAACCACTACCTATAATGATAAACTCTGGGTCATTGTTACAGACTATCAAGCATGTTAGGTCATCAAACTCCAAGTCAGTTCTTGGTCTCACACGTACTACTTTGGGTTTTCCAGCCCTATAAGCCAAAACAAGGGACAGGAACAGAGACATGTAAGCACTGGCGGTTTTCCCTTTCTCGAAGAGTTGACTTCCGAAACAAAACTGAAAATTCTGAACTCACCTCCGTACTCCCAGCACCAGGTAGCATAACAAATTATCAGCTTAACAGATAACCACACCGAGAATGATAACTCCGAATCCGATTTGAACCCTGGTAAATACCCGAGTTCTCCTCGATCTTTTAGAAGCTTCCACCCCTGCACAGCCAGCCGCCAAGGAAAAACCACCATGTTACCGGCTCTCAAAGACACGGAACAGCCTCAACCCAACAATCAACCAAATACCAGAAATACCAGCTTCGTTTGAGGGGCTTCGACTCCTTCATAGTAACTGACGAGAATTCTCCACCGTACTCCAGGAGTAGGCTTCCAGACTCCATCTCGTGCAGCCAGTCCTCCAGTTTAGGTAACACACTAATTATCCTATCTGAACCCTTGCTGTGTGAATAAAGTAAGGCATGTCTCCACCTTACCCTGCGGTCACAGTATTTACCATAAAACTTAATTTCTAACTTTACCTTAGGAAAAATAAGAAACTTTATACGTACCTTCACTGCACGTTCCTTCATCCACTGCTTTCCGTACTTCAGTCTTCCTTTTTTTGTAGTTCCCATTTTCCGATATATGTTGTAAAGGTAGAAAACACTTATTTTGATCACGAAACACAACTTGCCCTGCATAGTTAAAGTCACTAATTTTGCTGTCCACGAGCCATTTGTCCTAGCACCTCTGCAGGCCAAGCATACAAACACTATCACTGACCAGACTAGCATCTCCGAAACTAGTTTAACCCAATTTTACATGTCTGACTAATAGCTGTTGGATGTCTTGTGAATTTCACTCCTCATCATTAACCCTGAACATAAATTAAACAAAAAGAGAGAACAACAACAACAACACGTGTTGTTTCATTCCAGTCTTAGGAAGGACTGGCAGCCCGGTAGAGGGTAACGCCCTCTCGTCGTCCAAGCGAGAATGATACGAAAAAAAGGAGGAAAAGAAAGAAGAGATGGTCAAGAGCAAAGTCTTCAAAGAAGGTGGAAATGGGGGATGGAAGCATATCATGGGCTGGTAGTGCAAACGATCAGGAGAAATGAAGGCTGGCACAGTTCAGGCTAAATCAGGGAAAGAGATATGTCCAGGGAACCAGCAGTGGAGTCCGTGAGCATTAGGCCTCGGGATAGATGAAAGGGGGAAGAGGAGACATCCGTACCTCAACATGCTTGGGGTTGTTAGGAGGAGTGACATGACGTAGAGGTTCAGAAGATGATTGGTTGGTACTGAAAGAACTCTTGGGATACGGACAATGGTAGCAAGAATGTCGGAGAAAATGATATTTCGGTCATGAAAGCATTTATTAACATAACGAGTCTGAAGCTGTCGAAGGTGTAACAGTGTGTGAAGAAAGTTGAGACGGCCATACAAGTCTCGAGTGGGACTAGAGAGTTTAATGTGGAAAGCAAGCAGGATGGAATGGCGCTCCAAAACCTGAAGGCAAGAGTAGAAGGCCAAGGAAGCAGAGATCCAGGCGTTATGTCCATAAGTCAAACATGGTCAAATGAAGATCTTATATGTGTACAGCAGAAGAGGAGATTCATGCCCTAGAAGGTACCAGTAAGAGATCGGAGGAGGTTAAGACGGCGAGAAACCTTAATAGAGAGGGAAGACAGGTGTGGTTTCTAGGTAAGATGCCTAACCAAAAAAAGATGAGCTGGACCTATATGATAGTGAAAAGCATCAAACATACTGTTGATGTGAACGTGCTTTATAGTAACTGTGAGAAAAACATATACACTGGATAGGAGAAATGACGAAAAAGTATCTTTGGCCACTATTCAGTTCTTTACATTATATAGCTGTACAATAACAAGTATAATAAATAAACTTAGTATTCCGATAATTGTTTAATCTCGAAACCTAAGTGTAGATTGGACTGGACCTCCGTCGAAATTAAACAATTATCGGAATACTAAGTTTATTTATTATACTTGTTATTGTACAGCTATATAATGTAAAGAACTGAATAGTGGCCAAAGATACTTTTTCGTCATTTCTCCT